GACAAAGGTTAAGTGGAAGAATGTTCTAAGAACCACCACCGCAACGTCCAACCTGCTAGCATGCGGACGTGGATGTTAACGGATATGATGATGATGATGATGATGATGATGATGATTGATGATGATGACTCACGCACGCATCAATGAAGATACGAGATATGTCATGCTCGTGACAAAGAAGACACAAGTTATACTCATGCTCTTAATGATAGCGATAAAAGTTATATTTCACATTCGTGATGGTGGAGAGATTACAAGTTATATTCCACGCTTGTAATGACTGAGATACAAGTTATATCCCACGCTTGTAATGACTGAGATTACAAGTTATATCCCACGCTTGTAACGACTGAGATACAAGTTATCTCCCACGCTTGTAACGACTGAGATTACAAGTTATATTCCACGCTTGTAATGACTGAGATACAAGTTATATCTCATGCTTGTAATGACTGAGATACAAGTTATATCCCACGCTTGTAACGACTGAGATACAAGTTATATCCCACGCTTGTAACGACTGAGATACAAGTTATATCCCACGCTTGTAATGACTGAGATGACAAGTTATATCCCACGCTTTGTAACGACTGCAGATACAAGTTATATCCCACGCTTGTAACGACTGAGATACAAGTTATATCCCACGCTTGTAACGACTGAGATACAAGTTATATCCCACGCTTGTAATGACTGAGAATACAAGTTATATCCCACGCTGTAATGACTGGATACAAGTTATATCCACACTTGTAATGACTGAGATACAAGTTATATCCCACGCTTGTAACGACTGAAGATACAAGTTATCTCCCACGCTTGTAACGACTGAGATACAAGTTATATCCCACGCTTGTAATGACTGAGATACAAGTTATTATCCCACGCTTGTAATGACTTGAGATACAAGTTATATCCCACGCTTGTAATGACTGAGATACAAGTTATATCCCACGCTTGTAACGACTGAGATACAAGTTATATTCCACGCTTGAAACGACTAACATACAAGTTATATCCCACGCTTGTAACGACTGAGATAACAAGTTATATCCACGCTATTGAAACGACTAACATACAAGTTTAATTCCACGCTTGTAATGACTGAGATCCAAGTTATAATTCCACGCTTGTAACGACTGAGATACAAAAGTTATCTCCCACGCTTGTAACGACTGAGATACAAGTTATATCCCATGCTTGTAACGACTTGAGATACAAGTTAATATCCCACGCTTGTAATGACTGAGATACAAGTTATATTCCACGCTTGAAACGACTAACATACAAGTTATATCCCACGCTTGTAACGACTGAGATACAAGTTATATTCCACGCTTGAAACGACTAACATACAAGTTATATTCCACGCTTGTAATGACTGAGATCCAAGTTATATTCCACGCTTGTAACGACTGAGATACAAGTTATCTCCCACGCTTGTAACGACTGAGATACAAGTTATATCCCATGCTTGTAACGACTGAGATACAAGTTATATCCCACGCTTGTAATGACGAGATACAAGTTATATCCCACGCTTGTAACGACTGAGATCCAAGTTATTCGCCATGCTTGTAACGACTAACATACAAGTTATATCCCACGCTTGTAACGACTGAGATACAAGTTATATTCCACGCTTAGGAAAGACTAACATACAAGTTATATTCCACGCTTGTAATGACTGAGATCCAAGTTATATTCCAGCGCTTGTAATGACTGAGAAATACAAGTTATATTCCACGCTTGTAACGACTGAGATACAAGTTATCTCCCACGCTTGTAATGACTGAGATCCAAGTTATATTCCACGCTTGAAACGACTGAGATACAAGTTATATTCCACGCTTGAAACGACCGAGATACAAGTTATATCCCACGCTTGTAATGACTGAGATACAAGTTATCTCCCATGCTTGTAATGACTGAGATACAAGTTATCTCCCATGCTTGTAATGACTGAGATCCAAGTTATATTCCACGCTTGTAATGACTGAGATACAAGTTATATCTCATGCTTGTAATCACTGAGATACAAGTTATATCTCACGCTGGTAATAATGGAGATACAAGTTATATCTCACGCGACTGAGATACAAGTTATCTCCACGCTTGTAACAGCAGGAGAAACAGGGAGAGGCATGTCAGACGTCATCAACTAGTGTTGGGAATCGTCAAAGTTTTCACGCTCGATCATCATTTTGCTGCAAAATGATCGATCATGATGACAGATCCTTGCCTTCAAAACATGCCCGCACGAACATTAGTTTTTGTCTTTTTCGCGAGAATTAGAAATGATGCATGATGTTAGATTTGAAACGATTCACGGACCCAGCTTTAGATGAGCTAATTGTAACTGGATGGACGGCAGTGGGACTTGTTGTTACCTTTTTTTCCAAGCAGGTCTTGAGGTAGTGTGTCGCCGATAGCTGACCAGTTCTGCTGGCCACTCCTAAAATAAACAAACAACATCTGTCAAAATTGTGTCCTGTTGCACGCCCCTACCTGCCGTATTTTCATGAATATTGGGGTGAAAAAGATGTTTACCTGTGCATCAAGCTGTACAAGTTGACTTCTAAAAGTAAGTACAAAGTGAGTTTCATAACCTTAGACACATCCTTGATGCTCCTTTGTAGCATTTGCTGGCTATAATGTAGAAAAATAGGCAGAGGTCAGAAATCATATATCATATTGACATCCTCATTCAGGAATTATAATTATAATTTAGATAACTACGAATGAGGATCAATGCACTGAGTAACTTAACCAAATCACCAGTTGATGAAGAATGCAATCATGGTCAATTCAAACGTGTTTTGCATTTATTAGTATACAGTGTGCATATAGTACGGTATCAAGCACTAACCAGCTTTTTCTCCTGGTAATTATTTATATACGGCTTTTAATTTCGCACAATCCGACAGTATCTTTAAATAATGGCATTTTTTCTCCATATACATTTGTTTGTAGTTGCGAAATCTTGTCAACTCCATAGATAGGACTATGAAAATAAAGCTAGGAAAAATATGAGCAAAATAGCATATAGGATAATAATGATGGAAGACCAAAATAAATTGTTTAATTGCAGACAAACATTCATACCGTAAATACATAACAGAGGTGATTATGGGATAGCATTTATCCGCTGTACTCACTGTCTATCCTGCCTGGGACTTATGTGTACCGAAGTCATTGCTGGTAAACCTAGGAGGAGGTGGCCAACCAACTGCATCATATGGATTCCGCAACACGGCCCTCTAGCAGCGATTGAATGAAAGTCTGTGGCCGGTGTTGATTGGTTGGTTGGTAGCGTTGGTAGCGTTGGTAGCGTTGGTAAGCGTTGGGAGTGAAGGGGCAGGCATTGACAGCTGAGGGTGAGGGGTTGGCAGGTAGAGGGCAGCACTGAGACGCGAGCAGACGGTGTGACATGCTAGTATCGCTGTCCACCATGGAGCTCCCGGACACACCCATGCCGATCCCACTGTCAGTCGCGCACCACTGCCTGTAGAAACACGAGATAGATACACTACGTCATGGATTGTGAAATGATACCCAACACCTCTTTGCATTATGGACAATGGATCTGTACCTGAGTACTAAAAAAATGCAAAAATGTTAAAAATATAATTCACTAGCTGATCATTTCGTTAGACGCTGGCACAACCAATATTGTTATCTTAGAACATATGAACTTAATTAAAATTAGTTTTGTATAAAAGCACGTAACATATACGCATTCCGTACACAATTATGCTTGTTTACAAATCAACCAGCATGATTTTTAAAATTCACATTTAACAAAACGTCACCAGTAGCTATCTAACCATAACTTAAATGGCAATTCTAATCTTACACAGTAAACATACCTTCGTCCACGCTTTCGCATAAGTCAATGACATCTATAACATTTTTCTTTACTGGGCCTTCCTGCAATTTGCAAATATAAAGATAGTATTCAAACAACAAGTTATTCAATAAGTTAATTATGCTGTCTAGAAGATTCAATGTTTGGAAACAAGATAAACACATTGTATTTTGAATCTTGGGTCTTGAACACTGAACCTTCTGCATGTTCTTAAATGGTAATATACATGTACAGATAATCTGGACCCGCAGCCACCCTGAACATTAATTAAAATTTCAAAATTGTGTAGAGATACAACACATTATTACACAGCCTCAGGGTAGCTCTGGAAATGTAGGCTCCACCATTTTGCACTGCAAGTGCAGAGCGATACAATTGACAGGTGAATGCTATAGCCTATACGTAGGGCCTATGCAATAATCCTACTAGTACTATACGCTATAGTGTTACTACTACTACTAACTAGTACTAGAGCTGAGAGGGTCTATGTCCCTCGGGGTACTGCCGGAACGTACCCTAGTACGGTCCGGTATACCGGAACGTCCCCTAGTACTCATCTAATATGCCGGACCGTACCTCGCCTACTCCACTAACGAGTCTGGGAGTCGCCTACGCCTACTCCCTAACCCTAACCATATCAAATAGTGACCAGGGTACCCAGGGTACGTTCCGGCGGTAACCTGGAGGACATAGACCCTATGAGCAGTACTAGTAGTAGTACTAGTAGTATTATTACTACTACTACTACTAGTACTAGCTCTAGTACTATAGCCGCGTACAGTTGCCGCTGGGCTATAGCATCAGCCATTACGAGTGCTCGGGACAACTTACTCCAGCCAGTCAGCGGGAACCATGTATTTCCACACGTGGAGGGATGAGCGGGTTGTGTTGGCTGTGGACAAAAACATTGTGTTATCAAGTAACAAATTAAAATATAGTAATTTGTTTATCTTTCAAGACAAAACTAATATTACAATCTTTTTTGATCGCTAATTTGTTACTTGACAACAACGTTTTTGTCCACAACCAACCCAACCGCCCACCCCTCACGTTCAGAAACATACTAGTTCCCCGCTGACTGGCGCTGCTGCAGCGCAGCCAGAAATGGCCGTTTGAAGTTCGCAAATCGAATGTTCGTTTACCAGAAATACCGCAAGTAGACCATTTCAACGATAGTTAGAGGTTAAATTTTAGTAGCTGATATAACTTAAGGCATATTCACTTCGGATAAAAGGCATTTATTGCCTACCACAGACATTTTATAGCCGGGTATAAGCGGGTCTAAGTTGGTCCCGCGCATCCCTAATGGCTTGTTCTATAGCCCAGTGGCAACTGCACGCGGGCTATAGTACTAGAGCTATACTACTGCTGAGAGGGTCTATGTCCCCCAGGGTACTGCCGGAACATATCCTGGGTACGGTCCGGTATACCGGAAAGTATCCTGGTACTATCTAATATGCCGGACCGTACCTCGCCTACTCCACTAACGAGTCTAGGAAGTCACCTACGCCTACTCCCTAGCCCTAATCCTAACCTTAAACCTAACCTAACCATATCAAATAGTTACCAGGGTACGTTCCGGTATACCGGACCGTACCCAGGGTCGCTACAAGCGTGGGATATAACTTGTATCTCAGTCATTACAAGCGTGGGATATAACTTGTATCTCAGTCGTTACAAGCGTGGGATATAACTTGTATCTCAGTCATTACAAGCGTGGGATATAACTTGTATCTCGGTCGTTTCAAGCGTGGAATATAACTTGTATCTCAGTCGTTTCAAGCGTGGAATATAACTTGGATCTCAGTCATTACAAGCGTGGGAGATAACTTGTATCTCAGTCGTTACAAGCGTGGAATATAACTTGGATCTCAGTCATTACAAGCGTGGGAGATAACTTGTATCTCAGTCGTTACAAGCGTGGAATATAACTTGGATCTCAGTCATTACAAGCGTGGAATATAACTTGTATCTCAGTCGTTACAAGCGTGGAATATAACTTGTATCTCAGTCATTACAAGCGTGGAATATAACTTGTATCTCAGTCATTACAAGCGTGGAATATAACTTGTATCTCAGTCATTACAAGCGTGGAATATAACTTGTATCTCAGTCATTACAAGCGTGGGATATAACTTGTATGTTAGTCGTTACAAGCATAGGATATAACTTGTATGTTAGTCGTTACAAGCATGGGATATAACTTGTATCTCTCCACCATCACAAATGTGAAATATAACTTGTATCGCTATCATTAAGAGCATGAGGTATAACTTGTGTCTTCATTGTCACGAGCATGACATATCTCGTATCTTCATTGATGTGTGCGTGAGATCATCATCATCATCATCATCATCATCATCATCATATCCGTTTAACATCCACGTTCCGCATGCTAGCAGGTTGGACGTTGCGTGGTGGTTCTTAGAACATTCTTCCACTTAACCCTGTCTAGCGTGTCCTCATCTGTGAGGTTCCACACTCTCATATCCTCCTTAACAAGCTATTCCCACGACTTTCTGGGTCTTCCTTTTCTTTGACATCCATCTACATGGAGGCTGGTGCCTGTGTTTATCCATGAGCCGCTCCGCTGTACCTGGCCATACCATCGCAGACGCCTACGTCTAAGGGTGGATTCCAGATCTTCAATCGTAAGCCTCTCACGCAGGATACCGGAGCTGACTGATGTATAACTCGATAACTCGTTTCTTTCTGCAGCACGTTTCGCTCGGCATGCCACGGAGGCCGCGCGCTCCGTACAGGCGTCTGCTGGAGCAGCGGCGGGGGCCGGACTTTGCCGCTGCACCGTTGCGCACTGTCATCCAGCCATCATCGTCGTCGTCGTCGTCGTCGTCTCTACGAAAGTCCCCTGTCCGGTCGCCGCCCGCAGTGGTGGCGCCACCGCTCATGCAGCAGGTGAGCGTTCCGCTGTCACGCGGCTCGAATTTCGCTAACGGTGATTGCCGTCGTTTCCCACCCTACTTGTCCTTCTTTACTCACTGACTACTTGTCGTTTTCCTTGCTTGCGGTTCCCCCCCCCCCCCCCC